GTGTGTGTGTGTGTGTGTGTGTGTGTGTGTGTGTGTGTGTGTGTGTGTGTGTGTGTGTGTGTGTGTGTGTGTGTGTGTGTGTGTGCGCGCGTGTGTGTACGTATGTATGTATTTATATATCTAAGAATAGATCTGTTTATGTGATTTTTTTTTCTAACTGAATATGGCATAAAAAAGTTGGTTCTGGGAATGCATATATAGATGCCTTGTCCACTTGACTTTAGTTTACCAACCTGACCTAACCTGTTTACCTCAATCCTTGCATTTTCCAGATAAATTCTTACTTTTATTGCTCTTGAAGATGTTCTGGTATTATTATTAATAAACATATTATTAATAACCATAATAACAATATTGAACATGATTCCATGATAACTAAGCACTTCTAAAGTCTTTTAGGTTGATTTCACTCAGTCAGCATATCTAGAAAAATAAGAATGCTATTCATCAAACAGAGTAATAAACCTAGTATTAAGTACCCTTACCCTTCACAATTCCTTCATTCCTCACGATTAACTTTGTCATCTATACTAGCTCGGGGATAGGCACATCGAGCACTCCTATGCCAGGCCTCTGAAGGCGAAGGGCAAGACTGGAATCATCTTTATGGATACTACTTTAGGGAGGAGGAGACAGCTAGCCATCCTAACCACATTCAATGTTCCAAAATGTCACAAGGAAGTGGTGCGTTGGTTATGTATGTCTGTGTTGGGGTTATTGTGTGGTTGATAATGTAAGTATTCTTATTGGAATTATAATTATTGTAATTTTCAACATTATTATAGTTGATTGTGTGATTTTGACATGACTAGTTATTTATAAACATTTTCTTGTCATTTTATTATTTTATTAATAATATATATGTTTATATATGTATATAATTGTATGTATATATATATCTATGTATATATATGCATATATATGTATTTATATGTATTTATATGTATATATCTATATCTATATCTATATCTATCTATCTATCTATCTATCTATCTATATATATATATATGCATATAGATGTATATATATATGTATGTATATTTATAAATATATATATAATATATGCATGTATATATATGTATATATAAAATTATATATATATATGTATAAGTATATATATAATATATATATATGTATATATATAATGTATATGTATGTATTTATCTACAGGTTGGTACACACACACACACACACACACACACACACACACACACACACACACACACACACACACACACACACACACACACACACACACACACACACACACACACATTATAGTTTATTGTGTGATTTTGACATAACTAGTTATTTATAAACATTTTCTTGTCATTTTATCATTTTATTAATAATATATATGTTTATATATGAATATAATTGTATGTATATATATATCTATATATCTATGTATATATATGCATATATATGTATTTATATGTATTTATATGTATATATCTATATCTATATCTATATCTATCTATCTATATATATATATATATATATATATATATATATATATATATATATATATATATATATATATAGATGTATATATATATGTATGTATATTTATAAATATATTTATAATATATGCATGTATATATATGTATATATAAAATTATATATATATATGTATAAGTATATATATAATATATATATGTATATGTATAATATATATATGTATATATATAATATATATATGTATATATATAATATATATATAATATATATATATATAATGTATATGTATGTATTTATCTACAGGTTGGTACACACACACACACACACACACACACACACACACACACACACACACACACACACACACACACACACACACACACACACACACACACACACACACACACACACACACACACACACACACACACGTGCATGTATATATATGTATATATAAAATTATATATATATATGTATAAGTATATATATAATGTATATGTATGTATTTATCTACAGGTTGGTACACACACACACACACACACACACACACACACACACACACACACACACACACACACACACACACACACACACACACACACACACACACACACACACACATCCTTTTATTTGTTGGCATTGTAAGGAAATTCATCTGAAATTAATATTTGCAGTTGATTCCACAGATAACAGAAAGATTGAAATGGTTCCGAAAGTATATAAAATTATTTATATATATATTTCTTCTTTAAATGCTTGTAAGCTACTCAAACTGTATTGTATATAGCCAGTGGTCTTGGCCTGTGCAAACCAGTTTGTGTTGGCATTTTGCCTGGTTCAATTGAATTTGTACGAGGCCCTTTAGGAAGAAAGAAAAATGAGATAATACAGAAATAGGGAATTCAGTTGTTTCAGGAAAAGGATTGAGAAGAAATATGGAATTCTTTTGGTTCTGGAAAATTATTGACCAGAAATAAGGAATTCTGTTGTTTCAGGAAAATGACTTAAGCACTGACACAGCCTCTGAGGATGGCATGGCTCCTTGTACACCTAATGCAGATCATGACCAAGATGAAACGATGGATCAGGATCAGATTCAGGCAACACCATCATCAAAGTTAGGAAGTAATCCTGGTGATAGTGAAGAGTGGGAAACTGTAACATCACCAAAGTTAGATAATACTCATGATCATGAAGATGGAGAAACTCCCCCAACATCAAACTTAGATGATTACCATGATAAGAATGAAAAAGGGGAAACTTTACCAATATCACTAAACTTAGAGAATGACCATAATGATGAAAAAACTGCCCTAACATCACCAAAGACAGATGACCTTTGCAGTAATGAAGAAGAGGGGGAAAGTCTTTGTGCTTTCTCAGTCAGTGGTAGAAGTAGAAATACCACCGAGATAAAAATGGATCATCTCCATGACCAGGAGGACAGACTTGCACAGGAACTGCTTCAGTTGCCAGCATCATCTCCATCTTTGATGAATATTAATAACCGAGAGGAGGAAGAGATAGAAGAAAAAGGAGAGGGAGAGGAAGAAGAAAAATGTAAAAATCTTTCTCTCAAGGATGCTGACATTGAGGTAATACAAGAGTACATTCAAAAGGCAATACAGGTTGCACAAGACAAGGACCCTGACCTGGACCGAAGCAGTCACTTCGCTATGAGTCTTACAAAAGTAATGGAGCTTTACACTGATTTACTGAAGTGCAGAAAATCAGAGGAGCAGTTTTTCACATACTTCAGACCAATAAAAGTATCACCTCCATCACATTGTACTGAAGGTATGTTTCTACATGTTGTGTGTTAACCTATTTAATTTTGAAGTTATGTTGGAGTAGTTTGTCTTGATACATCTGAAAGTGAAGTCTTAATGGTGTGAATAATGAAACTTGGATAGATACAGACAACTTTTAAGATTTATTTGCTTCTGTAATTTTCCATGAGAAATGGTGACTCAATTGTATTAGTTTAGCATTACCAATGTGTAGCTTCAGCATCCACTCATTAGTAGAATATAATTGACTGCTTTAATAAAACCCTGTTCATAATTTCAGATGAAGAAAATTGTAGAGATAGTAGTCTACACAGTAAAGAAGAATCTAAGCCACAAGAATTACAGCAAGTATCAGACCAGGTAGAACATTTTAAATTAATTTTTGATGTTGGACTTGAAAGATCATATTCTTAAAAAAAAAATAAAAAAAAAAAAAAAAAAAAAAAAAAAAAATATATATATATATATATAATATATATATATATATATATTTATATATAAAAATAAAAATAAAAAAATAAATAAATTAATAAATTTTATATAGGACCAAGAATGATATATGTATATAATTACAGGATCAAGATGTTAAGAATAAACAGACCATCAACCATAACTCCAAAGCCATTACAATAAAGGAAGGAATCAACTTGTGTGAGATCAAAGAAGAAAAGAAAGAAGTCATAGAAGACGAGTATTGTATGTCTATAAAAGAAGAACCTCTCTTTGATGAACACGAATATTTAAGTAGTATAGAGTCCATTCAAGAGCAAATGAAAGAGGAGGTCTGTGTAGACTTTATGCAGGGCTTTCTGTTGCAAAGAGTGGACCATGAGTGCAACATTGGTGACGTGAATGAAAACAGCAGCTCTTCTTTCCAAGATTTTGAAAGCTGTGTTGAAGATCTTCCTGGAGGACTCACAAGTTACTAGGTGTATTAATTCATTGAAAAATAGAAACACACACACAAATTAGCTATGTAATAAGATAATGTAAATAATTTTCCAGTAATTGGGCTATGTAAGTACAAACTGTCCCTTACATTTTTTGTAATTTTGTAATATGACCCACTTACACATTATACTATCATAGATTTAGAAGAAAAAAGAAATCCTTTTGAATACATATTTATATATTTTTTTTGTTTATTCACATGAATAATTAAGTAAAGTTTGTTTTGCCAGTTGGAGAACAAATATTAAGGATATATTGTAGTTACTCTCAAAAATGTCTTTCAGACAAGTTTAGTATTTATAAATATATACTTATGCAGAACAGCTTTAATCAGTTCATTAATAAATTATATTTCTATGCACTTGAATATTTAGTAACTCCTCCCTCATTACTGAACTTCTGTAATAACAACTGTGTACATTCTTTAATAAGTAAAATAACATATTAAATATGAAGCATGAACCAGATACACCCATCCCCCTTACTGTTGGCCTTGACCCCTTACTTTTCTTGTTCCTAAAACTGTAATTATAATATAAAATAAATTATTTTATAAGTTGCTGCTTCGGTCACTAAAGATTAAACCATCGACTTGGTACATTGACTGTCCACTGTGATTTTGCTTGACTAATTTAGTTTACACACATATAGTTTCACAATCCCTTGCTTGTGATTGTCGTGGGATACTTAGTTAACGGGGACTGAGGCCCAAGGGGATCACCCCTACCTTGGTCCTGAGCCCTTGCCTTAACTAATTTTGCTTGGTCTTTCTTTTCCACCTCTCCTTTTCCTTTTCTTCATCCCCTTGTTCTGTCCACTCATCCTAATTGTTAACCTCATTTTGGCTGTTTTCACCACAATACTTTTATCATAATACCCCCTACTCCCTTAACTCCTTCCCCTTATAACAGCATTAACCTTGTACTAAACCCTTTCAGCTCCCCCCTCTCTACCCTTTTCACTGCCATACCACCTTCTAGTACTGTGTACTGTGTGGTGCAGTGGTACCACACAATCTTGCTGACCTACGTTCAAATCTCTCGCCACCAGTGGATGGTAACCCTGGCCATTCCTTGCACACATGGGCAAATTGAAACAGACAGTATGTCACACCAAAAATATTTATTGTAACAAATGGAATCAAACTAAATTTAATTAATTTACTGTTCAACCTTTAATTTACCCTAATCATTAACTTGTTCCTAACCCTTTTTGCTATTCTAATTTACCATAGTGCCATATGACCTTTGATGTCATATAGGACTTCCTTACCTGGGGGCTTTGTCCTCAAAGCTCACCCTGCCATTATATTTTGAATTTTGCTATTACTATGATTTTATTAATCAAAACTTTTCTTCAAGGAATTAGGTAAATTGGTGAGGTAAGGTAGGCCTACTGTCTGATTCTCATTACAACTGATTACCTCAAATTCTTTTTAATACTTTATGCTACAATGGACTGTCACAGAAATACAATTGAAGATGAACATGATACATTTAACTGCATTTTAAATTAAGTTAATATAGTAAAACTATGAACAAATGAATATTTTGATGATAATGTAAATAGGTGTGAGTTAATGATATTTTCAAAGTATGCCCAAATATTAATAATGAAGTGATGGTTATATATCTTACACTGTGTGCATCCTTTGAGTAAGGTTCTAAAAATTCAACTATTAACAGACTTCTTTTTGAGTTTGGATTGTTTCAGGCTGTTTCTGGTCTGTTCTTTGCTATGTACTAGCATATGCTTATCCAGTTTTTTTTTGCGAGTGAACCGCTTGCTACAAACCTCACATCCATAAGGCTTACCACCTGTATGTAGTCTCATATGATTTACTAAAGTTCCCCTTACAGAGAATTTCCTCCCACAGTCTTCACAGGTATATGGTTTTTCCCCAGTGTGTCTTCTCATGTGCTTAACTAAAGTACTTTTCTCTGAGAAACTTAAATAACACACTTCACATCTATAAGGCTTCTCACCTGTATGTTTTCTCATGTGCACACCCAGATTACCTTTCTGAGAAAACTTTACTCCACACACATCACAGCTAAATGGCTTTTCTCCAGTATGTTTCTTCATGTGAGTTATTAAAATATTTTTGCAAGAAAACTTTTGATTACACAGATCACAGCCATGAAGTTTCTCTATTGTATGCCCACGAATGTGGTTCACTAGAGCAGCTTTGTATGAAAATTTTTTGCTACATGTGTCACACTTATAAATTTTCTCCACATGCCTTTTCATGTGCATTACTAAGTTTCCTTTATGATAAAATCTCTTATTACACACTTCACAACTGTGAAGCTCTTCTCCAGTATGCTCTTTAATATGATTGTCTAGATGACCTTTATATGAAAATTTTCTGTTACATATGTCACACTTGAAGGGCTTCTCTAAATTATGTCTCCTCATGTGTATCATCATGTCCCACTTTCTGGTGAAATTCTCATCACATACCTTACATCTCAAGGAATCCACAACATTATGTATGTTCATATGAGTTACTAGGCTACTGTTTGTAGAAAAAGTTTTTCCACAAATATTGCAAACAAATATTCTAATTTTAGGATGTTCTACCATTTCCAGTTCATCCTTTTTGTACAAAACATCACTTGCATTGCTTTCCAAACAAATTTCCTGATTGTTGTATGAAAAATCAGATTCTTCTAAATACTGAATTTCTTCTTTCGGATTCAAATCAGACTCTTCTTTAATGTAGACTTCAACAGAATCACCACAGTTCTGGGGTTCCAAATTTTTGTTATCCATGATGGCACTACTTGCTCTGAAAGATAAAATAGTTCTTACTTTATATAATACTGGTTACCCAAAAAATCAGTATCTTTTAATAATAGTCAAGACATTCACTTGAATAAATATTATCTGTTAACCCACTGGCATCTGGCAAATGCAGTGTTCTCTGAAGTTTTGATTAAAGATAGATGGCTTTGAAAGTGCTTCATAACCAAGGAATCAAATAGCTAGGCCAACCTGATCTCACCTAGTTACCCAATTCCTTGACTTTTGGTATTATTACTGTTATCAACACTACTATTAACATTATAATCATGATAATGTTATTAACATTATAATCATGATAATGTTATTAACATTATAATCATGATAATGTTATTAACATTATAATCATGATAATGTTATTAACATTATAATCATGATAATGTTATTAACAATCACAATAGTAATAATAATAAACAATATTGTTTCCAAAAAATCAAGGAATAAAATAAATGTTTGCCTCCTTGGTAACTAAGCACTTATAGAACCACCTGTGGTGTAAACAAATTTAATAAATAAAATTACAGAGGATAAATTATGCACATATGCACTCTTGTGTCTGTAGATTAATTTGTAGTCATCTACTTTCCAACAAAATTTGTAAAGGGAAAACATAAAATCCTTGAAAGACAAATGTCAACTGAAATACATTAGGGAGAGAACTAAGCCACTACAGCTTTACTATTATTCATTAGCTCATTTTCAGTCTTGATCAAAACGTTAGTTACAAGAATGAACAAACTCCATGAAATCCTTAATAGACACTATTTCAATATGATGTCAATTTTGTCATATATTTTGTATATGAGAAACAGATCAGAAACAACTAAACTTCCAAAGGATATAGAAATTCTGGAATTGTGAGATAATATGCAAACAAAATGGGCATAAAAGGACAGAACTTCTGGTCATGACATAAAACCCAATTTGTCATCATATAATTATAATATATAAATATTCACATTGAACATATGTCAAGGGCACTGTCCCACAATTATATGTCTCCATAAAAAAAATGATAATAATAATAATAGTAATGATGATAATGATGATCATTTCATTAATAACATCAATAATAATAATAAAAAAAAAATATGATTAAAATAATAAATGTAATAATAATAGTAAAAAATAATAATGATGATGATAATTATAGTAAAAAATAATGATGATGACAATTATAGTGATAATGATAATGAGAATAATAATAAAGCCACAGAATTACATATTATTTAATACACTGGGTTTGGGTTTGCATTATTCCTCTATTTTTAAATTTCTGTAGAAATTGTTATTCTTATTTTTTTGTGCGTGAGTTAACCTAAAAGGCATACAAAGTGAACATGATATCAGATTTTAAAAATGAATCTTGCTTTTCAAATTTATATGTTGGAAAATTATGAAAAAAGCTAATGAATACTAACATGCATATGGAAAATATGATTTCTTAGACTGGCCAAAAATTATTGGACACAGAATTTCTATGATATGAAAAAATTGTCCATAAATCACCCTTAATTTTTTTTTTACAGGTCTTTACTTTTTCATTTATCTTTGTGGTCATACTGGCAAAATCTATAGTTCCTCCACTATTTTAAGATAGAGGGGAAATTACAACTGCATTTTGTCTTTAATAGTGGATTTTTTTTTAAAATCCTTAATATGGTTTGAATGAATCTAAACAATATTTTAGAAAACCCCATTTGGAAGACAACTCAGTGTACAATACATCTGGACAACCACACAAAGTTCTCTCAGCATCATCCATGCCTTTAGTGCTCAGCAAAGGTCAACAATAATCCTACATCTTTTCAGGTAATATAGATTTAGTTTGTTTCCTTAAACTGGGGGATAAACCACCTGCAATGTTCATAAACTCTTACTATTACTTACTTGGTGGAGGCCTATTGGTCTTTGCTTAAGCACCAAAGAAAGTATGCCACGGTGACTAATTCAGTAATTTTTGAAATGCTATAAAACTGATACACTCTACTAAAATTATAGTTTTATATCATTCTAAATTATAATTGGGTTTGCTTACGAGGCACCATTATTGACATTAGTTATTTAAGTCTCACTGGAGTCCTGTAGAGAATGCTCCTATGACAAATTGAAACCTTGGCCTGAGGAAACTGACAAAATTAGGACCTTGCAAGAGTACTGAAAAAAGGTATTACCATTCTTTCACTTCATATCTGCTGTACACGGTAACAGGTCATTAAATTTTAGATCAGGTATTGTTTTAAATGGTCATTTATGCAACTCGTTACGTCTTGCACCCCTTTCAAGGTCATATTTGTTTTGGTTTTATTTTTCTGATTAATAAATGTTCATATATAAAAAAAATATTAGTATGGGTATCAAAACTTATTTATTCTGCTCAGCTATAATGCTACAGAACTTGTATTTGATAAAGGAAAAAAAATAAAAATAAATCACAAATATATTAGGTGCTGAAAGAAAAGTAAACCCCACAAGGTCGATTGATGATGAAAGAAAACGTCTTATGTATTTCAGACCTTATCTTCGCAGTTCAATTAAAATGGAAAAAAGCGGATATAAATTTAAATAAAAATGATATAAATTAAAATGGAAAAGGCGGATATAAATGTCATAGTTTGGCAATGTGTATGGCAGCGTTAAAGCGAAATGATATAAAGTTACCGTTGCTGAAAGAAAATTTAATATTTGTCAGTTTATTTATTTATTTCTTTATTTTTTTGTTTTGTTTATACTCTCTCAACAAAACAATCTTAGAAATATGTAGAATATAGAACAACAGGAAAATTTGTTGTTGTCATAGGTATTGCATATACGGAACAACAACAACAACAACAACAACAACAACAACAACAACAACAACAACAACAACAACAACAACAACAACAACAACAACTAAACAAATTTTCGGGTGCTTTTAAAAATATTGATTTTGTTGTCTTGAGTTACAAGAAATGTTTGGATTGGATTGAAGGAAAGACAAGGAATGAGGTAAT